TTCCAAAAAAGTAGAAGAGGGAGTACTTCCAAACTCATTCTATGAGGCCAGCATCACCTATAATACCAAAACCAGGCAGACACCACCAAAAACGATAATTACAGACCAATATCCCTGATGAACATAGATAGAAAAAAACTCAACAAAATATTAGGAAACTGAATTCAAATATACATCAAAAAGATCATCCATCATGATTAGGTCCTAGCCACAGCAATCAGATAACACAAGGAAATAACAACCAGATTGGTAAGGGAGGTGTTAAACTGTCACAGTTTGCAGAGGACATGATGTTTTACCTAAAAATACCTAAAAAAAAGTACCCAAAAACTACTAGAACTAATAACTGAATTCAGCAAAGTTGCAGGAAAAAAAATTAATACACTGATATCTGTGGCATTTCTTTATACTAATGATGAACTAGCAGAAAGAGAAATCAGGAAAACAACTTCATTTACAATTGCATGAAAAAGAAAATACCTAGGAATAAATCAAACCAAGGAAGTGAAAGACCTATACCCGGAAAATTACAAGACACTCATAAGAGAAATTACAGAAGACATGAATAAATGGAAATACATCCCATGGTCATGGATAGGAAGAATTAATATTGTCAAAAAGGCCATCCTGCCTAAAGCAATCTACAGATTCAATGCAATCTCTATCAAAATACCAACAGGATTCTGCAATGAACTAACGAAAATAGTTCTAAAATTCATATGGAACCACAAAGACCTGAATAGCCAAAGCAATCCTGAGAAGGAAGAATAAAGCTGGGGGGACTATGATCCCTGATTTCAAACTCTACTAGAAAGCCACAGTAATCTTGTTACTGGCCCAAAACAGACCCATAGATTAATGAAATAGAGTAGAGAGCTGTGATATAAACCTACACATATACAGCCAATTAATATACAATAAAGGAGCCATGGATATACAATGGGGAAATGACAGCCTCTTCAACAACTGGTGTTGGAAAAACTGGACAGCAACATGTAAGAAAATGAAACTGGATTGTTGTTTAATTCCATACATAAAAGTAAACTCAAAATGGATCAAAGACCCGAATGTAAGTCATGAAACCATAAAACTCTTAGAAGAAAACATAGGCAAAAATTTCTTGAATATAAACATGAGCAGTTTATTCCTAAACACATCTTGGGCAAGGGAAACCAAAGCAAAAATGAACAAATGGGACTACATCAAACTTAAAAGCTTTTGTACAGCAAAGGAAACCATCAGTAGAACAAAAAGGCATCCTACAGTATGGGAGAATATATTTGTAAACAACATATCTGACAAGGGGTTGACATCCAACATATATAAAGAACTCACACTTCTCAACACCCCAAAACCAAATAACCCAATTAAAAAATGGGCAGAGGATCTGAATAGACAGTCCTCCAAAGAAAAATTTCAGATGGCCAACAGGCACATGAAAAGATGCTCCACATTGCCAAATATCAGGGAAATGCAAATTAAAACCACAATTAGATATTACCTAACAGCTGTTAGGATGGCCAACATTGAAAAGACCATGAGCAACAAATGTTGGTGAGGATGTGGAGAAAGGGGAACTCTTCTACACTGCTGGTGGGAATGTAAGCTAGTTCAACCATTGTGGAAAGTAATATGTAAGTTCCTCAGAAAGAAAACTAAAAATCAAAATACCATTTGACCCCGGGACTCCACTCCTAGGTATTTACCCAAAGAAAACAAGATCCCAGATTCAAAAATACATATACACCCCTATGCTTATTGCAGCACTATTTACAATAGCCAAAGATATGGAAGCAACCTAAGTGTCCATCAGTAGATGAATGGATAAAAAAGATATTGTACATATACACAATGGAATATTATTCAGCCATAAGAAGAAAACAAATCCTACCACTTGCAACAACATGGCTGGAGCTAGAGGGTATTATGCTCAGTGAAATAAGCCAGGTGGAGAAAGACAAGTACCCAATGATTTCACTCATTTGTGGATTTTAAGAACAAAGCAATACTGAAGGAACATAGGCAAAACTCTCTTGAATATAAACATGAGCAACTTATTCATGAGCATATCTCCCTGGCCAAGGAAAACAAAACCAAAAATGAACAAGTGGGACTATATCAAACTAAAAATCTTCAGTACAGCAAAGGACACCATCAGTAGAACAAAAAGGCATCCTACAGTATGGGAGAATATATTCATAAATGACCTATCTGATAATGGGTTGACATCCAAAATATATAAAGAGCTCACAGACCTCAACAAGCAAAAAGCAAATAATCTGATTAAAAAATGGGCAGAGGACCTGAACAGACACTTCTCCAAAGAAGAAATTCAGGTGGCCAACAGGCACATGAAAAGATGCTCTGTATCACTAATCATCAAATGCAAATAAAAACCAAAATTAGATATCACCTCACACCAGTTAGGATGGCTACCATCCAAAAGACAAGAAACAACAAATGCTGGTGAGGATGTGGTGAAAGGGGAACCCTCCTATACTGCTGGTGGGTATGTAAATTAGTTCAACCATTGTGGAAAGCAATATGGAGGTTCCTCAAAAAACTAAAAATAGAAATACCATTTGACCCAGGAATTCCACTCCTAGGAATTTACCCTAACAATACAGGATCCCAGATTCAAAAAGACATATGCACCACTATGTTTATAGCAGCACTATTTACAATAGCCAAGGAAGCAACCTAAGTGTCCATCAGTAGATGAATGGATAAAGAAGATGTGGTTCATATACACAATGGAATATTATTCAGTCATAAGAAGAAAATAAATGCTACCATTTGAAACAACATGGCTGAAGCTAGAGGGTATTATGTTCAGTGTAATAAACCCAGCAGAGAAAGACAAGTACCAAATGATTTCACTCATCTGTGGTATATAAGAACAAAGAAAAAACTGAAGGAACAAAACAGCAGCAGACTCACAGAACCCAAGAATGGACTAACAGTTTCCAAAGAGAAAGAGACTGGGGAGGGTAGGTGGGAAGGAGGGATAAAGGGATTAAGGGGCATTATGATTAGCATACATAATGTAGGGGAGGGTACGGGGAAGGCAGTATACCACAGAGAAGACAAGTAGTGACTATATAGTATCTTACTATGCTGATGGACAGTGACTGTAATGGGGTATGTGGTGAGGACTTGATAATGGAGGGAATCTAGTAACCACGATGTTGCTCATTTGATTGTATATTAATGATACCATAATAAAAAAAAATGAGCAGAGGATCTGAACAGACACTTCTACAAAGAATAAATGCAGATGGCGAACGGGCACATGAAAAGATGTTCCACATCACTAATCATCAGAGATATGCAAATTAACGTCACAATGAGATATCACCTCACACCAGTTAGGATGGCAAACATCCAAAAGACAACAGCAAATGCTGGTGAGGATATGGAGAACGGAAACCCTCCTACACTGCTGGTGGGAATGTTAATTAGTTCTACCATTGTGGAAAGCAGTATGGAGTTTCCTCAAAACACTAAAAATTGAAATACCATTTGACCCAGGAATTCCACTCATAGGAATTTACGCTAAGAGTACAGGATCCCAGATTCAAAAAGACATATGCACTCCTATGTTTATTGCTGAGCCAAGGTATGGAAGCAACCTAAGTGTCCATCAGTAGATGAATAGATAAAGAAGAGGGGGTACATATACACAGTGGAATATTATTCAGCCATAAGAAGAAAACAAATTCTACCATTTTCAACAACATGGATGGAGCTAGAGGATATTATGCTCAGTGAAATAAGTTAGGCAGAGAAAGACAGGTATCAAATGATTTCACTCATCTGTGGAGTATAAGAACAAAGAAAAAGCTGAAGGAACAAAACAGCAGCAGACTCACAGAACCCAAGAACAGTTACCGAAGAGAAAGGTACTGAGGAGGGTGGGTGAGAAGGAGGTGTAAGGGGATTAAGGGGCATTATGATTAGCACACATAATGTAGGGTGGGCATGGGGAAGGCAGTATAGCACAGAGAAGACAAGTAGTGACTCTATAGGATCTTACTATGCTGATGGACAGTGACTGTAATGGGGTATGTGGGGGGGACTTGATAATAGGGGGAATGTGGTAACCACAATGTTGCTCATGTGGAAATCTGAGCATAAGATTGTATATCAATGATACCTTAGTAAAAAAATAAAAATGACTTTAAAAATTGTATATCCATGATACCTTAATTTAAAAAAAAGTATAACTCCCTCAATATTGTTTCAATATTGAAAAATTTAAAAAAATCCAATTGATGTATTGCCTGGTAGGGGAAGGAACTACAAAAATAAAAATGATAGACATGGAACAAATACCAAGTGTTGTTAATTTAGCTGTGTGGTGACATGGAGCTCAGTGAAATATTTGCCTTCATTAAGGTGAGTTACAAGAGTATGCGTGAGTTCTCTTTTCAGTGGCTTAAACTTCATCTTGGATTTAATTATAATGGAAAATTATCTGGGCTCTTTCCCCCAACTTATTGATAATGTACACTCAAGTTCATGTGTGAAGCACCCAACACATATCCTCTTTATGTGTGGAAAGGTATAGAAGGAGCCTAGCCCAGAGTCTGGCACTGAAAAAAAAATCTATTACCATTTTTCTTCCCCATTCTGCATGATAATTAACTCTCTTGTCTGCAATACTAAGATTAAAGATGGTCAATATACGTTTGTTAGAGTAAAAAACAGAAGGAAGCTTAGATTATAAAAAGTTTTAATGTCAGAAGAGACAAACTATGTGGGAAAACACTATGTCTTAGGAAAGTGCCTAACACTTAGTAGTCAATCAAATTTATCTGTTGACTGTATTGTATAAAAAACATGCCAAAGAGTCATAAGGAGAATCTTTATTTTCTTGTGTGTCCTCCTTCAATTGTAAAGGGGTAATGGAAATAGCTTCCCCATTTGTGGATGGTCCCTGAGGTGTACGGGTGGGTGTGCTGGGAAGGAAATGGGGAGATGGATTTGAGAATACTCACTGTCCCCTGGCAGGATGGGCAGGGTGTATGTTCCGGATCTGATGATGTCTCCCTTAGCCATGATCTGGAAAGAAGAACTTGACATAATCCTCAACATCTTATTTCCCTCACAACCTACTTTTGGTTGTTGAGTCTCTGCTGGCAAGAAACAATCTCATGGAAGTCAACAAGTCCAGGGGAACGTGGCGGAGGCGCAGGATAAGGTCACACAAGTCATTTTTACATTTCTGGCTCCATTAACCACTTTGTCTACTGCTAAACAGAAGAAAATGTTGTGGCCTTATTCTTACCAGGTAATAGAAAAGGAGCTCCTTGATCTCCCCAGCGGCCTGCCCACTGAGTATGTGGTGCACCTGCGTGATATGAGTTTGGCCACAGGGCAGAGTACCAGCCACAGGCTCCAAGTGAACGTAACTCCCGCTTAAGGAGAAAACGTGACTTGCGACGTGCTGAGCTCCCTGGTGTTCTTCCCGTGCCCACACATGGTGAAAACAGAAGTTGGGTTGCACGTGGTGCACCTGAGAAAACAGAAAAACAAAGAATCTATATTGTCTTGAAGTTCTGCACTTAAGCTGCCCACCAAAATGAATAAAATGTGGTGTCCTCCACCCTAACATCTATCATCTAACATATGACATGGCATATACACATGCATCACCTTCATCCCTATTGACCACCAGATAAACAACCTGCTAGCTTCTCATATTGCAGAGATTAAAAGGAACCATCTACAAATTGATCTCCGTTGCCCAGATTCTGCTAGGTCATCACTACTGACTCTTTAAGCAGCTCAGAGCCAGAGGAACAATGATGTCCCAGGGACAATGGAGAACAATCTGAACAAGGAGAAAAGGGAATCTTCACATAATAGAAGGGCCCTTGTAAGTTATTTTGGTTAAAATTATTTTATATATAGCAATATGCCTGTTACCTTATGGGTCTCAAAATTGTATATAAATAATCCTCAGCAAATAAACGTCTATGCCTCATCATTATTATGACTTCTGATTTTTAAGGCTTTGTAGTTTCTGGACTTTTAAGCCTTGAAGATGTTTAGTAGATAATTCCATTTATTTCCTCTGCAGTGGTTGCTCCCTAACTCTTTTTAGGGCATACTTATTTTCTTTTCCTGAATTTATTAGGTGACCCTTTTATTTGCTGTCATAATAAAATTCATGTTTTTATTATTGCTTTTTAAATATATCATAATAATAAGTTATAGTTCTATTAATCTATGAATACAGGAACTTTTCATGTATAGGGACACTATTCAACTTTACAATCCTAGGGAAGAGCGGGTATCCATCACACAGAAAACATTTAAGCATTATTACACATTTTTAAGTGGAAATAACATGTGAACATTGGAAAATGGAAATAATTTCTGTGCCATTTATATAAGCTGAAATCAATAAACCATTGCCTTTTACCACTTCCTTGCTTGTGATTATTAGCATAAAATCCTTTTAGTTGCAGAAATCTATTGATCATCTTCATTAGGCAATATATGCTGAGAGTATGTATGTGGAGGGTTCTGAACACTTTAAACAATGTCTAAGTGGGCATGGTAAAAACGACATAAAACAAATTGCACAAATTACTTACAATTGAAGAACTGATATTGGTCAGGACCAAATCCAGCAAGATTTTTTTTTTGGCACAATACATAATATTGTAAAGATAATGCCAATGAAAGGCTCAGACACTTCTCTAGTATCTCTTCTAGTGTCTTAACAAACATTTTAAGCCTCAAATTTATTGCTAAGTTGGGCAGCTTCTTGTTTCTGTCTCTTAAAGACAATCTGTGTGTTTGTTTCTTCACTTCTGGATACTTAACTGTTAGTGAGGCTTTTCTTTTTCCTCAGGCATTTTTTTTTATTTTTTATTTTTGCATACTTACCATGATATAAAATTTGTTAGCCAAGATACTGGTGGTATTGATTGAAAACTGTACAAGACCCTGCTCATTGGTAGTTGCATTGTGAAGGTAATGGGCTTCCTTGGAGGAGATGAAGATGAGTTTGTTGGGGATGGGCACACCTTTCCTATCCACCAGGAGCACCTGGAGTAGAAAATTACCTGGTAGGTCATGCGGCCAATACTCGGGAAAGGCAGAGCTCATGGCACAAATTCCTTTGCTGCTGCAACTTAAAAAAAGCCAATCACCAAACTGCCCTTCCAGATGTATCACAGAACTCCTTCCTTCGAGTGGGATCCTCATGCATTTTTTTCTTATTCTCCTGAAAAAACCATAGAGGCAACTCTGCACAAGAGTTTCTTTTGGAGAAAAATCCAATCATCATAAAACTGGTCAGATGAACTATTAAATGAATAAAATTAATATTCTAAACATATTATTAAAAAATATATACCTTAAGCACAAAAATAATATAATCAGAAGAACCCTAGAAGGTACATGATTATGTTTCCTATGTCTCAAATCAAAACCATTTATCCACCTATTTCTAAATAGAACACATATAAAGAAGGATACTGGCAGCTATAAATTGAGTCATTTGTAAGAAATTTTCTTAAAATTCTGATGCTGGCTGGATAATGGGAGAAATGTATGTATTTGTTGTCAAATGGGTGGGAGAAGAGGTTTGAATTATAATCAATTCATATTACATTAAGCATCTTTATTAGTTACATGTCTAAAAAAGAAATAGTACCTCTGAGTCTTATAATACTGTAGTATGGGTTTGGACATTTTTATCAGTGATATTTAGAAAAGGAAGTAGCTTTGCTGGGCTTTGTGCTTGTGGTCATAGTAATTAATTGATAACTCTAACTAGGAATATGCTACCTCATTGTGCCCTGGACTTACACAACCGGACACATCTGTTTACTCGTGACTCCCCATATACTCTACCTGTCCGAAGAAGGGGACACCTCGTCTAAAGTGTGAATCCACTTTCAGGAACTTGAGTCTGGTGGCAATGTTTGTAATTTCACTGGTTCCATTTCCAGTGAATACGACATCTAAAAATATGTAGAAAAGAGTAAGTAATTCTGGAAGTTCCTTTAAGTCCTAAAATTCATTTCCGACCTCCTTCTTTACAAACCGTTATTTTGTTCTATAAAACACACCAATGCTTACTGTTTTCTTTCCCATGTTAATTTAGTACTCAAACCTGTTCCCTCTTCTTTGATCTTGGCTTCCACTCTAAGTTTCATTTCATAACCTGCATTTTTAATCTGGAGCAAGTTGGTTTTTACTTCGTGGGTGATGCAGCCGCTGCTGCTGAGCTAACAGAAATACAAAAATTGAAAAGTGTCACACTGAGTTAAGACCAATAGTCACCACATCTACTATTTTCTTTCTGATGGTAGGACAATTTCTCTGGGATGAACATGCTAATTGATCTTTAGGAATTTAACATTCACATTCTAACGTTAGTCAACAAAATTCTCATTTTGCTCAGTGGAAATTCCTTTTTTCTTTTTTGGTGTGGAACATTTTGGGACAAGTTTACTCTGATGTCCTCTTTCTAGTTAGTAAAGTGGGACGGCTCTATGGTCATTCACAAGGAGAGCCCCTTCAGAGCACACTGCACACTAACCTGTTGGTTGAATTCTTCACAGAACTCTTGTTTTTGACAATTAGGAGCATAAAGTAATTTTCTGCACATGCTCACAGTTGCAAGTCCTGGGACAGGTTTCCCGTAGGTGTATCTGTCACATTAGATATAAATCAGGAACTGAGGAAGGTATCTACATTTTCTACTACTAATCCACCATAGAGCAAACAATTACTCTCTGTAGTTCTCTGTACATCTTATCGTTTCAGGCTCAGAAGCACGTCTGAAAAACATCTCTTCAGGAAGTATTGTCCATTAGAACACTTGAAACTTTTCTACAATATACAACCAAGTTCCCTTTGGAATTTTTAGCTTTCTTCCTTGTAGCCAATTTGTTTTTATCATTCTTTTTATTTCTGTCATCACAAAATCAAAATTTGTGATTTATAAAAAATGAGAAAATTTAGATAACAGAAGAATGAAAATAAATAAATGAGAAAATTTAGATAACAGAAGAATGAAAATAAATAATGAGCAAGCAGACTCAAACACAATAAAACATATACATACACACAGAGAGAAGGAGAGACAAAGCCCTGAGCAAACCACCACGGGGCAAATAAAAAACAGTGTGTGTTGTGCATACTCCATATTTATATTATTTCTCTTAATAAAAATGGAATAATTGATAATCATTTTGCTTCGGGCATTAGTTTCCTTTCCTATTTTTCCTATTGGTGGGAATACTCCAATATCACTTCATATAAAAAATATAATTAGAACACCTTATTTGGGAACCCCTCCCCCAGATAGAGATATCTGTACTAGGGTGCCATTAAGTTAGACAGGTAATACCTTGACCATTACTCCAAGACAGACTTGAGGCTGAGGCCCAGATGCTTTGATGCTTGGTATGTGATATTTAGATGGGCATATTTCTTTACCCAATTCTTCCTCTCCTACTGCTGGTTTGTAGGATATTAGTTTTAATTCTCAAGTTTGAAATGAACTGTAAGAGTTATCTGTAATCGTAAAAGGCTAAATAAGAAGGGAACCCTATAAGACAGAAAACAATTTTTAAAATAGCATTAGGAAGTCCTTCACTATCAGTGATTATTTTAAATGTAAATGGATTAAATTGTCCATCAAAAGACATAGAATGGATGAATAGATAAAAAGATAAGGTCTAATTAAATAATGCCTACAAGAGAATCACTTTAGGCTTAAGGACACATAGCTGAAAGTGAAGGTTTAGAAAAAATATCCCAGGAGAATGCATACAAAAATAGATCACAGGTGGCTGTACTTATATCAGACAAAATAGACTTTAAGTCAAAAACTGTCACAAGAGACAAAGGAGGAAGTATATAATGATAAAAGGGTCAATTCAAGAAGGTGATTTAAAATATACATGCACCCAACATCAGAGCCCTAAGTATATGAAGCAAACATTGTTGGAACAGAAGGGAGAAACAGATAGCAACATAATAACAGTAGGGTAGCTCAATGCCCCACCTTCAATAATGGACAGAACATCCAGACAGAAAATCAATAAGGAAACAGTGAGCTTGAACAATGCTGTAAGTCACGCAGACCTAAGAGACATATTTAGAATATTCCACCCAAGAGCAACAGAATACAAATTACTCTCAAGTACACACAGACAATTCTACAGGATAGATTACATGTTAGGTCCCAAAACAAATCTTAACAAATTTAATAATATCAAAATTATACCAACTATTTTTACTAGCCACAATGGCATGAAACGAAAGCAAACTTTCACAGTATTTGGAAATTAAATAAATATACTCTTAAACCACCATTGGGCCAAAGAAGATATAAAAAGGGAAATTAGAAAATATCTTCAGGAGAATGAAGGTAAAAACATAACAAACTCAAACTTACAGAGTACAGCAAAAGCATTAATAAGAAGGATGTTTATTCCAATGAATGTCTACATTAAAAAAGAAGATATTAACTAACAATCTCACTGTTTACCACAAGAAACTAGAAAAATAAGAATGAAGCCCAAAGTTAGCAGAAGGAAGAAAACAGTAAATATTGGAGCAGAAATAGACTTATAGGACAACAATTGAACAAAATCAGTAAAAGTAAGAGTTGGTTTTTTGAATAAACAAAATTGGAAAACCTCTATCTAGACTAACAAAAATGTGTACATATGAGTCGTAATAACTAAAGCAATGTGTAAACACCCAGCTCTATGAGAGTTTTTGGGAAGATTGAGTGTACTTGAGCATAAACTTGGAATTAGTGTTGGAAAACTATTTTTAATTTTGTTAAGTGTGATTATGGCATCATGATTATGTAGGAAATTATGTCAGGAGCTTTGAGAGGTACGTAATGCTGCATCTAGGGGACAATGTCATGATCTTTGTAATTTATTCTGAAATACTAAGGCAAAAAAAAAATGTAGCAAGTATGGAGAGAAGTTAGTTGTTAAATCATGATTATGGGTATCTCAATTCTTTTGTATATTTGAAAACTTCAATAATAAGCAGTTGATACAAGAGAAGTCATTGGAATAATTTTTTTTAATATAGAGGAGAATTAATTTATAATATGTTCCTAACTAAATAATCACTCAAAACTAAGGCAGAATATGAAATTTCAGACAAAAACAATTTTACTCACATCCCACATACTGATATGTTCACTTTTTCATCCAGGATACTGATTATTTTTGGCACCTGAACTTTGACCTCAAACTTGGGAAGCACTGTTGGTAGAGACAATGGAAATGGGGAGGCTGGTAAATGTTTAATGGATACACAAATATTTTCATGTCAGTAAATTTTCCCAAATTGATACCCCCCAAAAACTAGATGCATTTTTCAATGTACCAACTTTAAGATAGTGTTTAACAATTTATGCAAAATCAAACTGACTTTGTGACCCCAGCAGATCTCAATGACACAGATGGTGATGGTTCCCCTAAATAAGAATTTTTGTACTATTTGCTATTGAAAGTGACCAAGCTCTTATGAGCTTCTGTGTTCACAGTATTGTGATAGTTTTATAGATATAGCTGACTCTAATACAAATTCAGGATACCTACAGGAAATTTAAAACATCTGAGTTCATAGTATGAACTAAAAAGCTATGTCCTTTTCATTTTCCATAAGCCATACCAAATTCCTCCACAGCGAAGGGGTGCTCTATTCTTCCACCTGCTTCCTTCTGCACCACCACCTTGTAGGAGCCCTGAAGGGGTTCTGATGAGAGGGGAAAGGCCAGCTCTTGGAGGCCATGCTCCAACTGGAGACTCTGCCATTGTCCAGTTCGATTTCTTTTTGGGTCCTAATAGTGAACAAAGAGCATGGGGAAAAATTATTTAGCCATGGTAGTTCTTGAACAAAACAAATGACTTTGAGGGTAGTAGCTGGCACTGCCTTCAAGAAAGACAGACACAGAAGGAAGATAAAGCACAACAAACCTGACATCTGGGAGTAGGAAAATTTGGATCTGAGTCTCATCTGTCTGGAATATTATCAGAACTTCTTATCCTTAATGTACCAATTTCTTTATAGAATACTCTTTCCGATGCTTACCTCAAGATATACCAGTGGAATCTATATGAAAACAGGAAAGAAGAGATGTAATTAGAATTTCACCAAATGCTATGATTTCAGACTTAGGATCAAACAGCTTATGAGGCAAGTATACCTACAGTAAGGTATATATTTATATATAAAATTAAATCTGAAACATCAAAGAACTGGAATTGCTCAGAGAAACCAGTAAATAGTTCTGAGAAAAGCACACATAATATATATTTCTACAACAATCATCACATTGCCACATCCCTGAAAAATATTACTGATGAATAATGTTTATTAACTTATTAATATTGTTCACCAATAGGTACTTACACCTTCCTAGTGAAGAATATGACTATACTGTTTACTTAAATAAATTAGGAAATGGGTATTAACAGAGTAATATGTCATTATGATTTAGACCCAATAGCAAAAGAATTGCTAGAATTTCGGTTAATAGTTGACCAAGAGTATTTCTTCTAATTTCAAAATTGCCTTTTAGAAAAGGTAGCTTTGTTTGCCTTAATACTGATAACTAGTTGGAGGAAGGGACACCAAACTAGTATGAATTAAGTCTTACATATAAGATGTATTATAGAATATGTATAAATATATATAAATGAAATATACATATAGAATTAATATATGTTGTGCATACAATATATATAAATATAATCTATATGTACACGTGTATATTGTCATATTACAATCTATTATATGTACATATACATTCAGAGGCAGTGAAACTCTTTGGTGCTTTAATTAACCACGAACTCCTAGAGAGTGTGGATACAGATGGAACCTAGCTTTTTCACTGTGCCTCTTCATCATGCTTAATATAGTGCGTTCAGAGAAATAAATGTAGCTGACTATTGCCAGACTGATTAATTATTGTTATAAGTAACATAATCTCTTAGCCCACAGTTACGCCTTGTATAAGACTTTAGATCTGTGGTGGGGCCAGAGCTCAGGTTCCAAAAAGAATTATCTTTTATCTTCTTGCGTTTCCTGGGCCTCCCACTCCACCTAGAGGGAGCACTCCCATCCCACCCCCAAACCACAGCTATTGAGATACTTACCAGTTCATTCAGGGGGTGAAAATTTTCATCCACAGAAACAACACGGAATTTTACTAAAAAGGAAATTCTCTGGTAAGACTCAGACATGATAGAGCAGAACACTTGGGTAATAGCAGGCTGAGAGAGTGGGACAATGGCAACTTTGGCTGGAAAAGCTGCGGAGGAAGTGAACTCTCCTCGGGGCTGCTCCCACCAGTGACTTTACCTACATACCTGTCTGTCCTGGTTTATAGATGGGTATGTCCTTCTGGACAAAGACCAGACTTTCAGCGTTCTTTACCAGCACTGTGTTCCTCTTCCTGAAGTCCTGTGTTGGTCCCTTTATCTGGACAGTGAGGAACACCACCTCTGAAGAAGCTGAGATCCTTGGCAGCTAAAGAACAATGACTACGTGAGGGACCAGACTCCTCCCTTTGTATCCTTCAGCCATTGTCGTGTTCTGTCGCCTTTCGAGCTTTACCAAGGCTAGGTAGGTATGAGTATGTCTCCATACATAAAAGTGGAGGTAATAATAAAAGATATAGGAGAAATATATCAGTAAGAACACCCATCAGGAAAACCCAAATCTTCATATAGCTTAGTTGGACCTCTACTTATTAAATTATACTCTTTAACAGAGCATATATATTCTGAAGGCATGGAGAGAAGCATCTCTGTAAAAATACGGGAAAATATAAGAGCTGAGTATCCTGAGTTGGGCCACCTCGAAGAGCTCCTGGGTGCTTGCTGGAATCTTGCACCATTTACACATTCCGAGGACAAAGACACCTAACATCTCTTCATAACCTACATGCTCTCCTAGCATAAGAGTTTTGTATAATCTCTTTCTAGGCACTGACCAGCTCTGGCTTTTAAGAGATGGTTACATTTCAAAGTTAGAACAACCTCTCTCTGACATATGATTTCTGTGGCTAATAGGATTTTTCTAGGACTTAAATTGAATTGTGAGATTTAGAAAAATATTTCTCTCCTACTCTGGTGGAAAATGTATGCTTTGTTCCTTAGTAGCTGAAAACTCACTCTTCCATCATTTCTGATGTCCTTGCCACCATTCTTAAAGTCATTTCTGGGGGGATTCAGCGCCAGCTCTCCGTCACCAGGATTCAGTATGATATATCAGACAAGACTGGCAGCCAGTACTCACAGTGAAGGAGACAGTGGAATAAGTCTTTCTCTGCCACCAGGTGGGTGAAGAGATTCAAGAGGCTCCGGTTCTCCCTGACCGACGCCAGGGAAGCGCTTACAGTCACTGTCTCATTCAGGTGGCTCAGAAGGAGGCAGCCCTTCTCAGGGGTCCCCGTGTGGAGCAGGGAGGGGACCAGCACCATATACTGCCTGGGAAGAGAAGACGATTAACTAAAGAGACAATCGGAGCATAAGCAAGCATTTGCAAAACATACATGTATTTTCCTTAACAATCTGTGTTTATTGCTACAACTGAATCTTTACCAAGAATCAATGGACTAAAAACAAAAAGAGGAAGGTTCTATCACCATCTGGCAAAAGAACTGTATCTTCCACTCCTCCGTGGTGCCTCAGCCACACAATCTACGGGATGTCGGCTTCCAAGGTGTTACAATTTTATAGGCTTTCTTTGTTTTAAAGAGCATTGATATCTGGATTCCTGCATACATATCCATAAGAGTGCCCATACATAATAAATTGTGGGTGATTATTCACTTTATAAAAAGATTTACATTAACATCTGTCTAAATAAACACCCCTTGTGCATGAACACCATGACTGGGTTTATACAAATTCACCTGAAAGAACTTCAGTGAACATGTATCTATTTATATAAACTTAAATAAAATACATATATGTACTTAGCTACAACCTCTCTTTGACATATGATTTCTAGTGCATTTACCCAATTCTTCCTCTCCTACTGACTCCAATGGCTAAGAAAGCAAAACAAAACAAAACAAAACAATTTTCTTAATAGCGACAATGCTATTTCTCTTAGGATCCTCAGATATAGCTTAGCCAACATTAATTTTTTAAATAAGTTTTTACTTTTACTAATAATTTCATGACACACACCTCACAAGTGCACCCCATGTTTGATTACCATTCTTCATTCCTAGTCTGAGGTAATTAATAATATTTTAATACTAATATTGTTCAAACTATGTTCATAAATGTATGCTTGTGTCAAGCCAATGTAGGTGGATAAATTATCTTATCTTGTTAAAAAACATGTTCATGTACTCTTTTTCAGTCTCTTTCATTTAAATTCCTGAATACATTTCATTACTCTGAGGTATGGCGATTTTTTTATGTGAGATTTACTTTCTTGCCTTGACTGCGTTGATGTGTTTCTTCTATTTCTTATGTCCCTTCTCTCCTCTCACACCATTTTCTGGTCACAATTCTATCCATTCTTTTATAAGGTACATAAATTATATTCTTCATGTTCATAAGAGCTAAAACATGAGATCCTTGCCACTCCCCATATTTAAATGTATAACAGTAAGATAAAACTCTGCTTTCTCACTAAATCAGTAAATCACACAGTTTAAGTCATTTATTTATAGGGTTAATTTGCAAATTAAGAAAAAAAGAACTATTCTTTTCTTGTATTGTTTTACTACCCTATCCCTTCCACCCCCACCATAAACTCTCACCCTTAAAAAAACAACAGGCGATTTGACACATGAAACTCAATGTTATAACTTTGCAAGGTGAATAGGCGTGAGACAGGAGCAGGGAATAGCAAGGACAGCTTAGCTGTGGAATCTGGAAGTTCAGTTTGGTTCCCATTCTCCAAGGGGTCTGCTCCAGCTCATCAGTCTTGCTGTGTGTGTTTTAAGCTGTTTCTTGGCAAAACTATATGACATGAATCTTTAGCATTACTCTTAAATAATTAAAATCTTGAATTTTTTAATTGCATAAATGCTAAGGTTTCGTTCTGAAGCCAAGAGGCTCAGAGCAGTTAAGTAATACCCATGATAATTCAAATAATACCTGTCAGCCAGTGCCTTTTTAGCATCTGGGTGTTTTTGATTTCCTGAATAATCTCTTTCAAAGATATGATAAATGATTTAAAAATTTATCATTTTAACACTTCCCCCTCTAGTTCTTTGATCTTAATGAAAGAAGCCATCAGTACATTAAAATTTATTCACTATACTTGCTTTATTTTTATTAGTTATAAGCCTGATTGATATCACAATTGAATGAGTTAGTTCCATTTGTATTTGATATTTCAAACAACTACTTCACAAAGGTTTGATTAGTTTTCATTTAATAGATATTGAAATTAGGATCCATCAAAATGGAATAATTTGCCCAAGATTTTATCTGTAAATAAGCAACTAAAATGTTTTCATATATTACTCAATCATGAATGTTTGCATTTTAAATATTTGCCTTTGTAAGAGTGACTAAATTTTGCAAATAATAAACTGATGACTTTAAATTTCCTCTTTTCCATCATATTCCCCTGCTCTAACACTTCCTGCCCCAAGGTGAGGGAGAATAGTGACTGGATCTTGTGGGCAGTATCTTGCATTTATCACCTTAAGTGCTAATAATGCTGGAGGGATGAGGCAAGGTTTTCTCATTAGTAAGAAGGTAGCACTTTTATTTATAATGACTAGGCCATGGGGGTTGGTCTTTGTCAAATGGTTGCCATGATATAAACTGATAGTTTTCAATGGACAGAATAGTCCTATGTTGTGTAAGGCTGGAAACATACACTACTTAACGTTTCCAACCCCAATAAATACCACTTGCTTCATCAATTCAACCTGTACGCAAAACCTTAACCCCCTTTTTCCAATGCTGTCTGGGTGGAATGCAGTGGGAGGTGGTGCCATCCATAGTTGTAGATGAGATGGAGGGTGATGGAAGAGAAGTGTACCCCTACTGGTTAGGGAAAATTGTTCCTCATAGAAGCCTGGAGAACATAGGAAAGTGAGTTGGTCGGAGTTCTGATTTCTGTTTCCTGTGCTTTAGCCTGGAGAGGGCCAACTGTGTTAAGTGGACTAAGGCAACACACAGAGGACTCCAGAGGCTGCCCTGTATCAATGTGGAAGGCAGCTGCATCAAAGGCAGGATTCCAGGGTGAGTAGGCAAAGGAGGGCTGGAAGTTTAACTGCCCAGGACACCTCAGTGCTTGTGCACTGTTATTGCTCCTAAGAATCTGACAGCTCTCCAGAAAGAATGTAACGGCAGCTGGGTGGAGTGCAGGAACCTCAAGCAGTCCTGAACTGCAAAAGGGAAGGTGACCTTAAAGTACAACTTGTGCTGGAGCATCAGCCACCAGATTGGAGGCAGGGTGCTGTGGGAAGCTGGCAGTTCTATGGGATGAGAAAGAGCTGAGGTGAGTCAGAGTCAGCCAGAGAGGACTTCTGGACTTCTTGGTCCAGAAGCAAAGGTAAACCAGATGGCTGAAGACTCAGCTGAATGCTAGCAGGTCAGGAGAAGCCAGATGAACGGTAGCCATGGAAGACAGGCAGCTCTCAGCCCCAAGGGCTCTGGCTCACCTCCACCAGGAAGTAATGGAGGTCACAGCCTTCCAGGTACTGCCTGGGAGGAACTGTGAAAAGGTGGAAGAGAAGCCTTAAAGAATTGGATTTCACCAATTTTGCTACTGAATAGGATTAAAATTACTCTCCTATCTCCCTCACCCCCAGTCAACATTACCATTTGCTAGGGCTTTTATGAAGATTCAATAAGTTATTGAAAAATAAAGGAGCTATGCTTTCTCTACACATATGATCTACAAAATGTATTAAATTGCACCCGACTATACATTTTTTTATAGTCAATACTTTATACCCAAAAGAATGATTCTGTGAAGGTGAGATCTGAGGTTTTTGTGTCTAAAAAATTATGCTTCCTAGTGACTACTTATTATATCCATGACTATGATCCAATGAAAATATTATTTCAAGAGTGCAAGATAAATAGAAGAAAAAAGGTATTAATCATTTATGATTAATCTCTTATGATTGGAAGGTATCTTAAGGAATGGAAGGGTAGCATTTAATAGGAAAGGCAAAGAAAAGATATAAGGGAGAGACTGAAATAATGTACTCTTGAGGACAGAGCTTTGAGTGAGACTTACGGTTCTGCCGAGTCTGAGGGGCTGGCAGAAAACAGGACAAGGAGAAAGAGCATGGGACATGAACAAGGTAGTCTGTCTTTCCCCATAGTGAGAGACAAATCTTAGGGGCTCTGTTGTGCCCAACTCCCTGCCCTCAGCCTGGTCCCTGAGATCTCTCAAATTTACCAGGCTTTATCTGGCTGCTATTTGCAAATAAGCCCCACCCAAGGCCTCCAAATAGAGTTCAGAGTTGGGCACAGATTCCCTAAAGTGTCATTGCTCTCTGGGATTGCCTCATTATGCTCAAGGCTAAATTCTGATAGGCTCTGAGGCATTTCCAGAGGATAAAATTCATGTTCTAGTAACAATGAACTTTCTTATACCATGACAGCAAAGCTCCTAATAAGGGACTTTTGACTGACCTTTCTCCAACTCCTTCAAAATCCTTATAAGTAGGTGTCAAAAAAGGTCAGGACCCATGAGCATGTCACTATGCCAGTAATTCATTCAACACAGATGCCTTTCTGAGATTGAGTGTAATATAACTTTAGGGGGACTTCTTGAGAGTTGGATTGAGTACAACGCTCTGGGAGAAAGTGACTCAAAGCAGGTGCCTGAGATGAGGGGAAGGAAAGATGAGATGTGTTGGAGGTGGATATTATCAAAGGTCACCTTCGTCTATTTCACAGCATTTATTGGATCAAATTCTAACTGTGCTTATCTTTTCTTACTGCTATTTGGACACCAAAGTTTGAGTCGCTTAGACCACATCATATATTTTATTCAAGATTTTTTTTTTTAGTTTTAAATGCTACCCTTGTGCTGAGAATACAATATTGAGCAGGATATCAGTGCCTATGCTCTTACAGAACTTGGAGTCCAGTTCAAATTGAACATCAGTGACCCCCCTAGGCTGCGGACGCCAGCATCTGTTCTCATAGTGGTTCTGCTTGAGAACTTCTCATCAACTTTCTTACTCTTCCTCCATATCTCAGCCTAATACATCATCTTCAGAGAGGCTTCCTTGGCCACTCTGCATAAAGTAGATGCTCTCCCTAATAAAGTTAGTCTTTATTTCATAACTTTGTTTTTCCAATCATATCTACCATAAATCAAAATGATTTATTTTTTCTCCAGTTTTATTGAGATATAATTGACATATAACATTGTGTAAGTTTAAGTCATAAAACATGATAATTTGATTCACATACACCATTGCAAAGTGATGACCATGATAAGAGTAGTTAACACCTCCATCAATTCACAAAATTACCTTTTTTTTTTTTCGGTGTGGTGAGAACATGTAAGATCTCCTCTGTTAGCAACTTTCAAGTACATAATACAGTGCTGTTAACATAGTCATCAATGCTGTACATTAGCCAGAACTTATTCATCTTATAACTGTAAGTTTGTACTCTTTGACCAACATCTCTCCACTTCCATCCTCCCCCAGCCCCTGGCAACCGTCATTCTGCATTTTTCTATGAGTTCAGCTTTTTAAGATACCACATGTAGCAAGATCATTCAGTGTTAATCTTTCTCTGTCTGATTGATTTCACTTAGCATAATGTCTTCAAACCCCATCTATCTTGTCATAAAAGGCAGGATTTTCTTTTTATGACTGAATAATATTCTACTGTGTGTGTGTGTGTGTGTGTGTGTGTATGGTGTGTAAAATATTTTCTTTTTCTGCTTGTACACTGATGAACACTTAGGATGTTTCCACGTCTTGGCTGTTGTGAATGAAGCTTCAGTGGACATGGGAGTGCGAATATCTCTTTAAGATGGTGATTTCATTTCCTTTGGATATGTACCAAGAAGTGGGATTGCTGGATCATATGGATCTAGTTTTAATTTTTTTTGGTAGCCTCTGTATTGTTTTCCATAGTGGTGGCGGCACCATTTACATTCCCACTAACAGTGTGCAAGGGTTCCCTTTTCTCCACATTCTTCACAGTGTTTGTTATCTTGTTTTTTTTTATAATAACCATTTAACAGGTGTGAGGTGGTATCTCACTGTGGCTTTGATTTGCATTGCCCTGATGATTAGGGATGCTGAGCACCTTTTCATATACATGGTGGCATTTGTATGTTTTCTTTGGAAAAATGTCTATTTGGATCCTCTGCCCAAACTATACTGTTTGGTTGGTTTTTGTTTGTTTGCTATTATATGTATGAGCATCTTATATATTTTGGCTATTAACCCCTTATCAGATACATGATTTGCAAATATTTTCTCCCATTCCATATGTTATCTTTTTATTTTGTTGGTTGGCTTTAGTTATGAGTGATTGAGGTTTGTGCCAGTTATGAATTCATTCCCTTCACTTCCAGATCTATCCTTCATTGATCTATCCTTCTGCCAGGGCCATATTGTCTTGATTACCATAGTTTTGCAGGAAATTTTGAAATAGGCAAGTGTGAGTTTTCCTTCTTTGTTCTTCTTTTTCAATATCATTTTAGCTATTCTGGGTTCCTTGCCCCTTCAGATGAACTTTAGGATCAACTTGTCCATTTTTGGAAGAAAAGCAGTTGTAATTTTGATAGGGATGGCATTGAATCTATCAATTGTTTTGGGGTATATTGCCATCTTAACAATATTAATATATTAATGTAATTATACAAATGTAATATATAATAAATATCATATATTAGTATAAAAATCTTCCAATCCCTGAACATTTGATATTTTGGGTTTTGTTACTCCACCATATGTGCTGATGTTACTCTTGGCTCAGTTTTGATGGGTTTATTAATTTTTTTAAAAACTTGTGTAATTTTACAGCAAAATATTATATTAATGGAAAACTGAAATTTGGCTTTTTCTCTGTTAAATGGTATATTAGTCTTAGAAATTAAATTGTGGTTATATTTGGAATATAGAAGATATTATTTTAAATACTGTGTTCTTAACGAGAGAAGTCCTCTTTTTTATGCTGTATCTAACTTGCAATTTAGTAATTTTGCTCTTAACAATGCTTGAGGTTATTATTTATTTTCTGTCACTATGTGTCCAAAAAACGATTTTTCAATGTTGCACTGGAATATTTTTCTCTGCTTTGTGTTGACTTCACAATCTTTTCTTGCATTAATTCAAAAATATTTTGCTGCTTTGTTTCTGCTATTTAAATGCATTTGGCAACCCGTTTTTTTTTGACCTTGTCAATATTGAATCCTAAATATAAAAAAAAATTAAAGTTAGGATATTTTTCATTACATTTGTTAATGGGCTCATCAGTGTTGTAAAAGCCACATGGGAAAAAAGATCATATTGGAAGATAGACTCAGCCGTCCCTAGGTTAAGTTTGCATAGGTAAAATGGTATTAATATACATATTTCAGAAATTGTGCCTTTTTTTGTGAACACAGCTGGAGATTTGTCAATGTCTTCACTGTCCACAGTGTATTCTTCCTCTGAATAAAACATTGATTAAACCTCTATGAAGAAGCCACCTTGTCCTTTTCTATAGTCATGCTATTAGTAATTGTAACAAATTTACTAATTTCCCTGTCAAGCTGGTGTCTGCTTCTTGATACTTGCTGATGCTTCTGAAAAGGACTCTACTAGATACCCTGGATTTGATGCTTCAAAGAACAGACGCTTCAAAGAACAGACGCTTGGATTCAGTTTTGAACTGTTATTTATTAGACAACTTTCAGACTGTACTAGTGTATCAAGACAGGATTTCCAGGACTTTTTTAGGTAAGAAGCAAATATACTTCATGAAAGAAAAATGCTTGACCTAAGATCAATCAGAATAAATATTACCAGGGTTGAACAAACTGAAGAGGGAAATTAAAATGTGGCTATTTATTTGGAATATGGTAGGTATTACATTAAATGTATGCTTAAGAAATATGGGGAAAAGTCCTCTTTCTTTTCACATTGTATTTAACTAATTAGTAGATTTTGTTTCTGTGGATGAAACAAAACATGTAAAAATGATACCTGATTCCTACTGGCTCCCTTAGAATTCAGAAGCAAATCCTTTCACTCAATCTGTACTTTTCAAGGCAGCATAGGTTTTTGCATTGCTTTATAAGAACCTGTCATTATTTTCCTAACCTGGATGTAATTGGACAGGTTGACTGTGTAATCAAGCATACCTAGACTAATATTTGAAAAGAATTCTCATTTATTCAGACATGATAAGCTCATTATTGAGAATTATCAATGGAGTCAATGCCTACAAAGTCTTCACACAGATAAAATAATGAGTTGTAGAGGTTCTTGAAAGTTTAAACCAAAATTTTTTATAAAAGCTTTTGGACAGAAGTTTATCAGGTGGTATTAATAGTTGCTTACTACTGCAGATTCAAGATTTACAGACAAACTCAAGGAGGCCCAGAGGGCTACTTAACCCTCTTAGGCACCTATGGGAACAATGGCAAAAATGACAAGTGCACATTTATTTCAACTTGGGGGCAAAGCCACTTGAAGATTATCTAGGAGAATATACTTAGTTCATCTCATTATTTACTACAAATGAAAGTTTCTAGACTTAGTGAAGTTACTTGTTGATTTTTGTCAGGTACCCATTGCTAATAATTTCTGTCCAGTGGAACAGATAATCCCAAAGATTTTATGGTATAATTTATATTATTCAACCTTATACCTAACCCATCATTCTTATGCAGTTTCTGTTAAATTGTCTTTAAATATCATAATTTTATGGATGCTCTTTGAACTGGTTATAACATCTTACTGGTCACTTCATTAATTAATAGGTTAAATAAAATCTTTGATACATGTTCATTTTATATTTGCCTGAGAATATAAATTTTCTTTATATATAATATGAACATATATTTTCTTTTTGAAGATTATACTTTGACAAATAATTTGTCAAAATAAGAAGCTACCATAATTAATAATATCTATGAGTTACAGTATGAATTATAAAATATTCTATAGAAAAGTGCTCTTTTACTGTAAACAATCTGACAAGGGCATTTCCTTTTTCTTTTTTTAATGCCTGATATCAAGATGCAATTTAATCTTATATTCAGCTGTTCAGTGCTCATGGAGAGAGAATTTTGGGGTCCAGTGTTAACCAAGTATATTGATGATGAAAGTCTTTTGTGTGGTTTATATATTAACAGAGTT